TAACAAGTCTGCCAGGCGACCCCGCTTGCACTGGGCCACTCATGGATGACCTTTTGTCCCTCGGCATCGCCTCGGTTCTGAATGTTAACCAGAAACATCTACAGCGGTGTCTGCCAGCTGGCCATTTAGCAGTTCTCTCCGTGTGCGAGCTGCATCCTGAGACCTCGCACAAAGCATGAACTACGAAGTTCCAGTGAAGATCCCCACTGTATGTCACATAGGGCTCGGAGCATATTCCTCCACTCCACTCCATCTTGTGCGATCAGTATATGGGGTGATGGTGGTGGTGGTGGTGGTGGTGGGGGTAACATTCAAGCGAAAGAACAACAAAGACAGCTCACCATAACAAGGAACGCTGATTAGAACATGACAAAGGCAAGCCTTAGTAAGATGGACAGAACGAACAAAATAATCCCAAGCAATCATTTCACATCACTCAGTATATAGTATATATATATATATATATATATATATATATATATATATATATATATATATATATATATATATATATATGTATAAGTATGTATGTGTATGTGTGTGTGTATGTGTGTTTAAAGACGCTATAATGTTTTCTTTTAATTAAAACATATAAAACATCTGGTAACTTGTGGTGTGTTTTGGTGCTTAAAAAAAGAACTGAAAAATGACAGCCCCGGTAAAAAGATTTCAATGGTTTGAAATGAATTCTGTCCATATTCCATAGTTGTGGATTTCAAGTTGTACGATAGACATGGCCAATAAGACACCTTTTTGGGGGGTGCCTGGCTGACCATGTTCTTAGTGCACTTGTATTCATGGCGAGGTGCAGACGCTGTCTGAAGGTGACAGGTTCAATTCCTGGCACGGTAACTATAGCTTTCGATTGTTATTTTGTCTAGTGTGTTCTTCTATCTTTCTACTTCTTTCTATGAGTGCCAATCAATACACTTTCTGGTACTTGATTAATTCATAATATATAACGGCCTCAAAGGCGCGCCCCCCCCCCCCCCTGTTTATTTGTGGTAAAAAGATAAATCGGACAGTTGTCCTTAAACCAGGCAACGAACCGCAGACACCCCCACTAGTGCTCCAGGCGCCATTCCTGGATCACCACGACCACCCTTTTATATGAACAAAATAAAACGCTCAATGTCCATTTGGGAGACACCGGATCACTTTACCAACAAGACAGGGACAGGGGCCGTGGGAAGCCATCAGCAAATCCGTGGGACACTGCTCCCTGACGGCTGCTAGTTCTAACTCAGTCTACTGTCTCTGGTTGTCCTATTCTTCAGTGCAGGAGGGCCCCCAGCTCGCGTATTGTCCCAGCGACCTGCGGCCAGGACACGACATTAATGGTAAAACCAGTGGGGTCTGGGTTGGGTCAGGGTCACGGGGTCATAATTAGATCACGGATTCGCGACAACAGTGTGGGATCAAAACAACAACATGGAATCATGACAACAATGTCGGATCATATCAACAGTGTGAAATCATAACAACAGTGTGAAATCATAACAACAGTGTGTGATCATATCAGAGTAAGATATCACAGATAGAACATGGGATACTAATTTGAACGTGGTATCATAGTGAGAATGATCCCCCCCCCCCCAAACAATATATATATATATATATATATATATATATATATATATATATATATATATATATATATATATATATAATTACAACCCTAATGCGAGGGGTGGGGTGTCGTAGCGAAAGCTTATAAACATAACAGAAGCGCGAAGGTTGGGCGGGGGGGGGGGGGGGTAGAGAGAGAGAGAGAGGAGAGTAGAGTAGAGAGAGAGAGAGAGAGAGAGAGAGAGAGAGAGAGAGAGAGAGAGAGAGAGAGAGAGAAAGGAATGAAAATGGTGTGGTGGTTTACTATAAAAGCATTGAATAACAAAAACAGCTCACAGTAACAAGAAAAGCTGATTAGAACCTGACAAAGGCAGGCCTCAGTAAGATGGACAAAACTTACAAGATAAACCCAAGCAATTCTCCCAAATCACCCACACCGGTATGGGTTCAGGGGCGCCACTGTGTGTGTGTATGCATCTGCGTGGGTGTGGTGGGGGGGGGGGTGAAGATAGGCCACCGTCTTCTCTAGAGCTGCTGACGGCCGTGGATAGGCCTACTGCTCAATAACAAGCATGTCGTAAAAGCACACTATTTAGGGGTGTGTTTTCTTCGATGTCGAAGTACTTCTGCATGAAGTGCGAGGAAAGAACACTCTGAATACAAATAAGCCACATCTGTAAAACGGACGCGCGCAAAGGTCAAGTTCTGGAGAAGAAGAAAAAACTTGAGTCCAGAAGTGGGCGTAAAATCAGACCTAGCCGCTGGAGTTTACAGCCGGTGAACACGCCGACACAAGAAGAGGAGAAGATTCACAACCACAATATCTGCCGATATACCCAGAAATAAATCACAGAAAATGACTGACTGACTGACTGACTGACTTTCTACCCCACTAGGACATCACACAAGCGATAAACACCCGATGACACAA